TGTGTGTGTGTGGTGTATGGTGTGTGTGGTGTGTGTATGGTGTATGTGTGTGGTGTGTGTATGGTGTGTGTGTGTGTGTGTGTGTGTGGTGTATAGTGTGAGTGGTGTATGGTGTGTGTTTGTGTGTGATGTATGGTGTGTGCGTGGGGTTTGTGGTGTGTATGTGTGTGGTGTGTATGGTGTATGTGTGTGTGGTGTGTATGGTGTATGTGTGTGTGGTGTGTATGGCGTGTGTGTGGTGTATGGTGTGTGTGGTGTATGGTGTGTGTGGTGTATGGTGTGTGTGTGGTGTGTGTGTGTGTGTGGCGTGTGTGTGTGTGGGTGCGTGCGTGGTGTATGGTGTGTGTGGTGTATGGCGTGTGTGTGTGTGTGGTGTTTTGTGTGTGTGTGTGTGTATGGCGTGTGTGTGTATGGCGTGTGTGTGTGTGTGTGGTGTATGGCGTCGTGTGTGTGTATGGTGTGTGTATGGTGTGTGTGTGTGGTGTGTGTGTGTGGTGTATAGTGTGAGTGATGTATGGTGTGTGCGTGGGGTTTATGTGTGGTGTATGTGTGTGTGGTGTGTATGGTGTATGTGTGTGTGGTGTGTATGGCGTGTGTGTGGTGTGTTTGGTGTATGGCGTGTGTGTGGTGTATGGCGTGTGTGTGTGTGTGTGTGTTGTATGGTGTGTGTGTGTGTGTGTGTGAGGGAGGTGTGTGTATGTGGTGTATGGTGTATAAATAAATAAAATAAATAAATAAAAATGTCTTTATTGAACAAATGTACATTTGCACCAGATAGGCGAATATTAGCTTCAAGCTACTCTAACTCTTAACCTATCAGGTTTTCATTACTTAACCTAAATAGAGAATTATACAAAAAAATTAAAATTTATTTATGAAACACAAAATTTTCTTTTTTTTACAAACAGTGATATAAACGTTATTGTTGACTTAAAAGATAACTTTTTAAATTGAGTCGAAAACTAGGCTAGTTTAAAAACTGGAAGGTATTGAATAAACTTACTGCGTTGTATGTGAATGATCTTTCAAACATAGCAGAAGATTGGTGTAGCATGGTAAGAGTATTATGTCTTATATTACGTGTATGGACAGTATTACGGAAAGTGATTTTTTCAAATAGATATACCGGACTTTTGAATTTAATTAATCGGAATAGAAAATTCATAAAATGTAAGGTGAACAATTTACAAATTTTTAACCATTTAAGTTGAGAGAAGTAATGTGTATGTGTGCTGTATGTGTATGGTGTGCGTGTGTGTGTGCATGTGGTGTGTGAAGTATATGAGGTGTGTGGGGTGTATGGTGTGTGTGTGTGTATGGTGTGTGTGTGTGTATGCTGTGTGTGTGTATGCTGTGTGGTATATGGTGTGTGTGTGTAAGGGAGGTGTGTGTGTGTATGAGTGTGGTGTATAGTGTGTATGTGGTGTGTGTGTGTGTGTGTATGAGTGTGGTGTTTGTGTGTATGAGTGTGGTGTGTGTGTATGAGTGTGGTGTGTGTATCAGTGTGGTGTGTGTGATAATGGTCTTATTTAACTATAACAGAAAGAACGAGAGTGGAACTTTTTTTGTAGTTCTCGCACAAATTAGCCGTATACAAAAAAGAATGATAAAAATTAAGTCCACCAAAAGCTGTCATTATTAATAGGTAAGAAAAAATAAATACATTGTCAATACTTGAATAAGAAATACATATTGGAAAATAAATTTGTTGCCAATATGGTACCAACATTGGTTAAAATAGTTTAATATTGGCCCAACTTATAAATATTGGACCTACAATCCACCAGTCTGGGTCCAATATCTTGTGCTGCAGGGGCATGTTTTACTTTTTTTTTTGTAATTAGTTTTTATTCTAAATAAGTAAATGTATTGTTTTGTAGATGACGAAATTCGCCAAACTGAAGGTTTTAAAAATGTTTCTTTAGGAAATGTAATTCCAGCTAGCTATCAGCAATCCGTTACCCCATTTTTAACCTCAACTGATGCAGAACTACTACAAAAATGGAGAGTGCCAGCTTTTGAATTGCAAGTAAGCTAATATTGACACATCGAGGATTCTAGAATTGTTTACACAAAAGTATTTTTCAGGTCGGTCTGCATGAACTTCTCGGTCACGGATCCGGCAAACTTTTAAAGAAAGAACCCGATGGCACTTTCAATTTCCCTCCGAGCTTATTAGATCCTCTTACTGGCCAACCTCCGTCCTCTTTCTATGAACCCGGTGATACATATGATACAAGATTCGGTCCTCTAAGTTCGACTTACGAAGAATGTCGAGCCGAAGCTGTAGGACTGTATTTGAGTCTCGATCCGGACGTTTTAAAAATATTCGGCCACGAAGGAAAGGAAGCCGACGAAATTACTTATGTCAATTGGCTGTCGCTGGTGTGGGCTGGAGCAGGAAAGGGTCTGGAACTGTGGGAACCAGGCAGAGGATGGTTGCAAGCGCACGCGCAGGTTTGTTATATTTTGTGGTCATAAACATAATAAAACTAACCTAACTTATTTTTTTAGGCACGTTTTGTAATAGCAAGAGTTTTAATACAAGCCGGAGTAGTCTCAGTTACTCAACCAACTAAAGATGATCTTCTGGTGTCGCTAGATCGTTCTGCGATTAAAGGAGCAGGCAGGGCAGCTATTGCAGACTTTCTTCTTAAACTGCAAGTTTACAAATCAACCGGAAACGTGCAGAAAGCAAAAGAACTCTACAATCATTACGCCGAAGTAAACGAGCCTTGGTTAAGTTGGAGATCCATAGTAATGGCTAACAAACAACCTAGAAAAATGTTTGTACAAGTTAATACTGAAATAAAAGAAAGTGAAGTATGTTTGAAAACATATGAACCAACTGTTGAAGGTTTAGTGCATTCTTGGGTTGAGAGATTTTCTTCTCCTCAACCATTATATGAAGCTTTAATTGAACTTTCCAAAGCTGATGCCCACCATTTTTAATAAATTGCATTTTATTATTTTTGAGATGCTAAAATATATATTTTTTTAATATACTTTAGCCAATTGTATTACGTTAATTAGATATGGATTTAAATTGTCTTTAAAAATTTAATAAAACATTTTTAGCAAAAAATACGCATTTTCTTGATACCTACCTTATTAAAATTCAAATTTCCTAAAAAAAAACTATATTTTTAACACAAATTTTAATTGTTGCTTTTTCTTTAACAGTTTAGGGTATTTCTTTTGAGGTCTTTTATAAAACTAATAAAAATTTTGGTCTGTTTAATATTAAAATATTTTCTCTCTTTAGATTTACCTAAAATCTCACAAAGAATAATATATACCTTAGACAATAAGAAAGGGGATGACTAACTCTGAACTATAATATGAGAATATTTGGCACCAGATGTTAAACACAGACAAAATAGTATCTCTCTCTCTCTAAGTGTAACCAGAAATTGATTAAATTAACAATTATCTTGTCAATATGTTTTTATATAAAGATTAAGTAAATCATTTTTAATAAACAAAATTATAATTCAGATAATTACATTGAAAATAATTTAATACAAATATATACACAATAAATTCTGTACAAAAAAATATACAAGTCACTTTATAAAAATACAATTTTTAACAATCTTATGTGGTAGGACGCGCCCAAGTATAAACATATCCATCTTGGCACGCAGTTATTATAGAATCAGGCCTAAAGACTAGAGCAGTTAATCTTTCATGAGCAATTTTCTTACAAACTAAAGGTTCGAGGTTTGGACATTCATCTATTCTAGGACAAGCTGGAGTACCAACTAATTGTAGAGGATCAGGTCTTCTTTTAGCTCTTGGCCTTGGGGGTACTAAATTATCTTCAGGCAGTTCCCAAAGACATATTTGAGTGTCGTGTCCGACTGATCCTAATCTGTAACAGGATTCTGCTTCTAAAAACCAGTCAAATGCAACAGCTGATACCCACGAACGATGTCCTTGAGCACGAGCTACGACCCGCTTTTGTTCCATGGAATACACTGTAACTAAATCATCCTCACCACCTACAGCTATTAATTTCCCATCACATGACCATGCAACACATAATAAACCACCAAAGTATGATCTTGCATGGCCTAAAAGTTCCATGCTATCATATTGGAATATTCTAAGTAACCCATCTTGAGAAACTACAGCTAACTGAGATCCATTAGGACTAAATGCTAATTCATTAATTGCAGCACCAGTTCCCAACAACCACCTGAATAAAGGATTTCTGGTTGATTTAGTTTTACAGGTGTTTACAGAAAAACCTTCACCAGCTTTGAAAGGCTGGTAATGAGGAGCTGCAGATCCACAAGGCAATTCTTCATTATAAACATAAAATTGTCCTGAAGCATGAGCTGCTAAAAATAAGGATTTACTTCCTGGAACCCAACATAAACAGGTAACTCTTGTTTTATCAATAAATCTTTCTTCATTAAATAGTTTACTTAGTTCTTTTTTTATTGGATCAATTAATTGAATTTGGCCAGTGCTAAATCCTATGAGTAGACTTACACCATCACTTACAGCAGAAGTACTATTGAAATCATGACAAGTTGGGTTTGTACCCTTATATACCTTTTTTTCTAGGGGTTTACTTAAATCTGCTGCTTTCTTTATTCCTTTATAAACATAAACATACAGTTCCCTGCCGTGATTAAAGCAAATTCGTTCTCCTGCTTGATCAGGAAGGGAGACTAGAGATACTCTAACTTGAGGTGGTGTTTGTCCCTGTGGTTGGTATCCAACTCGGTTTGGTCGAGAATATTCACTTAAAGTTAACAGTCTATAGGTTCCTTCTCTTGTAACAAACTGGGTTTTAACGTCACCAGGTTCACCGATTGTTCTATCAAGAGTTCGTTCACCAGCTTCAAGTAATGATTGATTGCACAGATTTTCTGGTCTGGCCATTATATGGCTATTTCTCTAACGAAATTGTATTTTTTGGTCACATCAGTAACTTTTTCATACTATTTTCATTTACTTCATAAAATCAATAATTTTTAATTTAAACATTATAGCTACTTCGTTAGTTTATTTAATTATTAGATTTAAGATAAATGTCAATTTTTAAGGTTAGAAACTATATTAGTTCGTTTGACATTAATTATCTATTTCTTTTTACCTTACATTACAGACAGAGTTAGATTCTACGTACTCTATTTTAATCGAAACATTATAGCAATCGATTTCAAAGAAGATCGATCTCAGTGTTTGAGATCAATGACATATAGTTTTATATAGACTGCTTATCCGTATATAAATAAGAAAGCCAATGTGCATATTGTATCAATAGAACAAGGTGCGACTCTATGGGCGTAGCCATTTTTATTTCTCATCTCACTCGGGAGTATTTATAACAACCATTTTCTGTTTCACATTGTTATTGTTCAATCCACAAGCTGGTGGATCAGACAATGGCTGCGTTCATCCGCGCCATATGCTACCTAATCGATCTGGTAGCGCTCTCGAGTGGCACGTATGAACGGTGTATTTTGACATTTCGCTCAAGGAGCGGCCGCCATTAAAAGTAGCGCATTTTATTTACGTCTGATCTGTCTTACGCACTTACGTCCACGGTTTGCTTGGTGACTAGTAGGGTTATATTAGCATATTAGCAATTGAAAAATAAACAAACAAATCTTCAACCAGAGACATTCAACTCAAAAGTAAAATGAATAAACCAAAATCAAATGTCACTTTTAAACATGGTTCATCCGTGCATAAAGATCGATCAGGTAGCGTAAGTGATCGCTACTTTTGTAGCGCTCCTTGAAATGGCGCGGATGAACGCAGCCAACAACGCGCTATTTTAATAATAATCATTATTTGGACATTTGTTTTAGCTGCGTATTAATCCAAAATCATTTTTAAGTGATTTTCATAAATTAAAAGGTGTCATAGTTGAATGTAATAAGTATTAAATTTAATTTTGATGATCCTTTTTAGTGCATTTCGATACGCATATGTGGGCGCCAAAGTGTCAAATATCACCTCGCTATGCGGCTTGATTTTGTTGATCGGCTTTGTTCTTCCAGTTAGCACTCACAAATTAGACAAAAACATCTCCCAGTTCGACCCGCTTTTAATCGATTTATTGGGTCCTATGATTGAACGTTTACGTTATCCGTAACGTTTTAGGCCGAGTTTTAACAGTAAAGAGACAAATTCGTCTTTCATAACACATTACTGTTATTTTCCGCCTGTTATGTTCTAATTTAACAGTTTTCCATCATCCGAACAACTTGCCTCATTTCTTTTAAAATTTGGCCTAACATGTACGTTAAGGATAACGTAAACGTTCAATCATAGGACCCAATATCGTATGGATGAGCAGTCTATATAAATTATGTCATTGAGATTCATGTTTCATACATGGCTGTCAGCTGTCATTAAATAACATAACCTCAAAATGTTATACGATTTAAAATTCGATATAATTTTATAAGTTTATGGTGAAAATTTATCATGTCGAATATAACTGATGAAGATGAAAGTGTTACGGGCCCAATTGAAAACGCTTGGGACATGAAAATACCCGAATTCAAACCACAAGACAACCCACATGGATTATTAGAGGAGAGTAGTTTTGCGACATTGTTTCCACAATACAGAGAACAATACTTGCGGCAAGTGTGGCCACTAGTTAAGAAAACTTTAGGAGAATATCATATAAAGGCAGAGCTAGATGTTGTAGAAGGCAGCATGACTGTATATACCACAAGACAAACATGGGATCCATACATTATTATTAAAGCAAGAGATATGATCAAATTAATGTCCCGAAGTGTACCTTACGAGCAGGCAAAACGTGTATTAGAAGATAATGTTGGTTGTGATATTATCAAGATAGGAAAGTTAACCAGAAATAAGGAGAAATTTGTTAAACGAAGACAAAGATTAATTGGTCCCAATGGTTGTACCTTAAAATCAATTGAAATTTTAACAAATTGTTACGTTCTTGTACAAGGCCAAACTGTTTCCGCTCTAGGACCCTATAAAGGCCTGCAACAAGTAAGAAAAATTGTAGAGGATACCATGAAAAATATTCATCCAATATACAATATCAAAGCTCTTATGATAAAGAAAGAATTAGCTAAAGATCCTAAACTTAAAAATGAAAACTGGGAAAGATTTTTACCCAAATTTGTTAACAAAAATATCAGCAAACGTAAACAGCCTAAAAAGAAGAAACAGAAGAAAGCATACACTCCATTCCCACCTCAACAACAAGAGAGTAAAATTGATAAAGAATTGGCTTCTGGTGAATACTTCCTCAATAAAGAACAAAAACAAGTTAGGAAACAAAAAGAGAAAGATGAAAAACATGCAGAGGCAGCAAAACAAAGGGAAGAAAAGAGGAATAAAGCTTTTATTCCACCTGACGAACCAAGCACCTCCAAGGTCAAGTCTAGTGTTGTTGATAAAATTGACATAGCTTCACTAAAAGATAAGATTTCGAAAGCTAGGAAGGGATCTAAAATATTTAATAAGAAAAATAATTAAAGGAAAATAAAATGTTTAATATATTTTTGGTTAACCTGTCTTTTATTTATTTTTTACCATAGCGTTCTGAACAACCATTTATTATTTATTGAATCATACTTTACAGCAGCAAAATATAGTCTCAAAATAGATAAATAACTGCAAAATTTACAAATCTGGTACATCAATGTTTGTATATGCACTGTTTCATGTACAAAAAGGTTTGATTTAAAAGTTACTTAACTAGTCCCATTTAAGCATTCTACAAATAAATTAATATGTTCAAAAAAGTAATTTTACTCACCAACATCTGATAAGCACAATTTATCTCAAGGAAAATGCAATAATACCCATCATTACCTAAAACTGTGAAATATTGATATTTGTAGGTAAACATGTAAAATAGTACATTAAGGTACATATCAGGTATAAATTTAATGTGTAAGTTGCCTTAAAAAATAAGTTAAACTATATAAATATTTATAATCTGCATACTTTATAATAATTAGAATAAAATGTCCCTTTAAGTACACAAAAGCAATATAAAATACACAAAAAATACTGCAAAATAAAGATTAATGTATGTTCTGTAACCACCTGCCCCTAATTTCTTCTTCTATTGTAAAAAGCATGTTTATTTACCTCCCTTCCCTTAACTACAACATTACTGTTTGGGGACAGGCATCAGATATCTCTCGCGTATTTATTATCCAAAAACGAATATTACGGTTAATTTTTAGTTTGGGTTACAGGGATAGTTGTCGAAAAATATTTAAAAATAATAAAATTCTTACTGTTACTGCAATATACCTCTATAAATTATTGTCTTTTACTTTTAATAAAATAAGAAATCTCATAATGAAAAGAGATATACACGGGTATAATACCAGAAATGCTGAAAATATATATTTAAAACAACATTACCATACCAGCTACAAAAAATCACCATACTACGCCGGTTCTTACCTCTTTAACAAACTGCCATCAAACATAAAAAATAATCAAACCCTATAAGGCTTCTAGTAAGATCTTAAGCAGCTATTAACAGTTAATGTTTATTATTCATTAGATGAGTTCCTACAGTATACGGATTTACTCAAGATGAAATTACTGCTTTGTATGTGTATTCATGTGGAGTTTTCTGCAATGCTGGCAACTAATCCTTTATTAATATAAAAAAATAAATAATTATAAATAAATTATACTTAAAAAATAATAACCTTAAAAAAAAATAAATACATATTTTCTCTTTACTAGTTTTGTTAATTTGCAGTATGACTCAGTGTTGGAGTAGCACTGTCATTTAAAAAGCTCTACATATGAATTTATAAACTTGCAGTTGCAGTTCCCCTTAGAATTAATAATAATAATAAATATTTAAATATGCAAATTTTGAGTTATACCACTTTTTTACTGAGTGTGCCTACTATCAACTAATTTGAAAACCTACAGTCATTTATTTTTTAAACAAATTAGAATGGCCAGGGTTAATGTTTTTATATGCATTTTGTTTGCACCAATTTTTACGTAAACCCAGCCTTAAGATATTTTATTTGTATATTTCTATTTGTATTATCTATTCAATTGTATTTCTATAAACTACTTAACCATGATTTTCATTAAAGGGATTTGGAGATACAAAATTTATACCCAACATTGACCAAAACCGTTTAGAAGGTCTATTGAGCATTAGTCCAGTTTGGAAGCAATTGGAACCTCTATGGCTTAAATTAAAACATATAATTTATGATCTTAGTCCGGGCAAAACGTGTCTTGGTTATAATCCTGAAGGTAGCACCACTTATTTGTCAAAAACTGCAAACCAGAAGATAATAACATTGTACAAAATTGGTTGAAATCTGAAAAAATGGAATGTTACAATACCAGACTTTTTAAAACTGTGAAAATAATCATGTGAGTTAAAACAAATTAATATACTATTTATTCAAAACTGAAAGGAGCTACTTTATTTTATGTGTGCCAAATGCACAGATAATGTTTTGGGTCCACTCCAATATATTTATGTACCAAATTAATCTATAGCAGCTACTTATTTTTTGGTAGCAACTTTTGTGCTTCAAAAATTAAAAGTTGTTTTCTGTATAATTTCTGTTATTTCCTTTGGGGTAATTGGAGTTAAAAATGGAGTGCTTATAGAAAAATCTTGAAGCCTTGCTTCACTATAATTTGGTAAAAGATAGTCTACATCAGTAAACTGATTATTAAAAGTATTACATATATTTTGTACACCAGAAATTTTGTTGCCTTGACAATTTAGCATCTCGATGGGTAATTTTTTTACTGATTTTCCTTTTGCCTCATTTACAAATTTCCAACATTCTTTTTAAGTGCTGGTTTATAAACCAGAACAAGAACTTTTAGTAACTTGAATATTAAAATATCTATGCCTAATAGTGAATCTTTCAAAAATTGTATAAATTACTTAGGACCAAAGTGTTACAATGCTTTACCTCCTGAAATCAAATTAATTAACAAACAACATTTATTTAAGAGAGGGTGCAAATCCTTCATCTACCAAAACTACTCAAAATTGTATAGATTCTTCTTAGAATAACACACATCTCACTGTAATATGTTGGAACCCTGTAGATTACAAGATTATAACATTATTACATATTATATAATATAACATTGCTGCCTTATTACATTTAACATTTATATAAAAATACATTAACTTTATATTTTAGTTTTTTAATCTTTATGTATTAGTTTTTTAGTATGTCTAGCACATACAGGTGCCCACACCTAGGTGCTAACTTATTTACCTATGATTAATTTATAATTTGTTTATTGTTGTATCCTGTCATAAATTATAATAATACCTAAATATTTGGATGTTTCTGTTTCCTGTATGTCTAAATTTTAACAAAGGTCAATAAATATTATTATTATTATTGTGAAATTCAAAGTAATTTATACTTACTTTATAGGCCTCTTTCCTCTAGTAGTGATCATCTAGTTTAATAAATTATTTTATTACTCACGTTGTGTTTAATTAATTTGTAAAGAAATCAAGGATTCAATACAAAGTTTAGTGCAAATTTGTGAATTAAGTAATTCTTAAAAATGTCTTTAATTTAATTTATCCTCAAATAAGGTATACACTTTTGAATTGGGGAATAAGAAATTATATTTCTCACCGAGATCTCGCATGTGCCCTGCTCAAATGAACGGGCCACTTGCCTTAAAATATATATTGTTGAATAATTCTTGAGGATATGCCACAGACGTTCTTAGAATTGCACTACTTTTTTTATATAAGTGAGTTTACTGAAATACAGTCGTTGCAATAATAAGTTAAGTTAATAATAATAAGTTTTTAGCCTCACCTAGGGGATTTATGTAGTGTATTAGTTGTCAGATTTGTAGTTTACTAAAATTTTAACCCAACACAAATTTTGAGCATTTTCAAAGAAGTGATATTCACCACCGCTTAGGGGATGAAACCAGATACTTGTAAAATGTGTTCCCCCGTAAATATAAATTAACGTGTTTTTTGTTTTAAAGATATTTTAAAAGTTATTTTGGGTGGCTAGTTTTGAAATGAAATCCCTGTATATATTAATTTTCGAATATTTGTCGACGTTGCCCATTTGACTTTCAATAAGTAGGTATGTTGTTTATCATTACTTATTCTGACGGCAAACTTCTCAACTTGTGGGCAATGTTCTTGCCTATAAAAATCGAAAACTAGTACTAAGTGGAGCACTCTGAATTAAAAAAGTTAAAAACGGCGGAGAAGAACAAGGTGAGTGGGGTCCTTAATAAATCTTTGTTTCTCATTTGGTCTTATTTACTGGGTAGATCATAAAAATAAATGTTGAAGGAAAAACTTCTACTAAAATTGACATTTTATCTGGAGTTCCACATGGATCAATATTAGGAACTCTCTTATTCATTATTTATACTATCGATATTATTAATTCAATTGATAAGCTTATGATGACGATACACAAGTGTATTTACATTTTAGTCGCTGTAATGTTAATGATGCAGCTCAACTACTTAATTCTCTAAACTATTCAGGAATTATCAGTCGAGTATGATTTTAAATTAAATTCTAACAAATCTAAACTAATATGTTTTGGTAGTAACAAGGAATTTTATCAAAGTAAATTTTAAATATCTAATGAACTATTAGAAATAGTAGATAATGCTAAAGATTTAGGTATTATTATTGATAATGATCTTCGTTTTTTCGATCATCGCAATTTTCTTAATATTAGATTGAAAACTCTACTCTGCGCATAGAAATAATATAGAAGACCAATATAAACATAACATTTAAGCAGAAATTGAAACCTACTGTGCATAAAAACGCGTCTCTGCGCCTGACATCGCAAAATAGTGTGTCTAGAAGCTTGCGCAATATGCATGACTTGTCCCTGTAGTGTTGCCAAATATATTAAACATACCTAACAGAAAAGAATTTTAAATTAATTAATTTTTAAATTATATGATTTAAACAGTTTATATCTGCGAAATATCGCCACAAAATAACTTATACACATTTAAATAATCAACTAATAATATTTATGTGTAATTACATTCCCAAAAATATATACAAATACCCTATTAATGTCATTAATACCGTATTTTTAATGTTCAATAAGCGATTCACCTACAAATTCAATATTGACCTGGCAATAGCACTAAAATCCGGTGTTTTAAGGCTATATGACGCTGCCCTTACAGGACCGTTTGTAGTTTATTATTTATGCCGCGTTTGAGAATCGACATCGGATGCATTCAGAGATAACCAGGAGATGTAACTATTAACAAATATCGTGCGGCCGTGAATAAGACATATTCTAAGGGACACAGTAGGGTATAATCACAATATATTGTGGGTATAATATCCGCTGTTGTCATTGTTAGTAAAGTGTATGTATTAAAATATTCGCTCAAGAAAACGATTCACCTCCCACTCTTTTGTCACATAGCTGAATTTTTCACAGATGAAAGGTCATGATAAGGTAACCCTTTTTCCGGAGTTAATACAAAATTAG